ACACACACAGACAGAGACACACACACACACACACACACACAGACACACACACACAGACACAGATACACACACACACACACACACACACACACACACACACACAGACACACACACACAGACACAGACACACACAGACACAGACACACACACACACACAGATACACACACACACACACACATACAGAGACACACACACACACACACACACACACACACACACACACACACACAGGACTCATGTCAGCCCAAGGCTTCCTCCATTCTGGCCGATCCTTTCCTCTGTACTGTGACAATAAAGATCAATAAAGATCAATAAAGATCAATAAAGATGTTCCACTAATAGCCTTTTCCCTCCCTTTGATATTTTATATTAATAAAGATTCCGCATTTTTACATATCCCTCCGTGCGCTTCTAGGAAGATATTAATCCAAAATGTCTCCAAGTTTTCTCCATCATTGCAAAGCCTTAGAAACACTCTTAGAAAAAAAGATGCTACAGACCTTCAGACCCCTTCAGACCCCTTGACTTATTCAACAACAAAACAAATGTGTTACAACCTGAATTCAAAACAACCACAAAAATATGTTTTTAGACATTTTGCAAATGTATTTAAAATGAAATAGAGAAATGTCTAATTTACATAAGTATTCAGACCCCTGAGTTAATACATGTTAGAATCACCTTTGACAGTGATTACAGCTGTGAGTCTTTCTGGGTAAGTCTCTAAGAGCTTCCCACACCTGGATTGTACAATATTTTGCCCATTATTATTTTTCTAATTCTTCAAGCTCTGTCTAGTTGGTTGTTGATCATTGCTTGACAGCCATTTTCAAGTCTTGCGATAGAATTTCAAGCTGATTTAGGTCAAAACTGTAACTAGGCCACTCAGGAACATTCTATGTCGTCTTGGTAAGCAACTCGTCTTGGTAACAACTTTTGGCCTTGTGTTATTGTCCTGCTGAAAGGTGAATTTATCTCCCAGTGTCTGGTAGAAAGCAGACTGAACCAGGTTTTCCTCTAGGATTTTGCCTGTGCTTAGCTCCATTCCATTTATTTTTACGGTTATTTTAATCCTGAAAAACTCCCCAGTCCTTGCCGATGACGAGCATAACATGATGCAGCCACCACCATACTTGAAAATATGAAGAGTGGTACTCAGTGATGTGTTGTGTTGGATTTGCCCCAAACATAATGCTTTGTTTAATTTCTTTCCCACATTTTTCGCAGTATTACTTTATAGTGCCTTGTTGCAAACAGGATGCATGTTTTGGAACATTTGTATTCTGTACAGGCTTCCTTCTTTTCACTCTGTCATTTAGGTTAGTATTGTGGAGTAACTAGAATGTTGTTGATCCATCCTCAGTTTTCTCCCATCACAGCCAATAAACTCAGTAACTGTTTTAAAGTCACCTTGGCCTCATGGTCAAATCCCTGAGCGGTTTCCTTCCTCTCCGGCAACTGAGTTAGGAAGGACGCCTGCATCTTTGTAGTGACTGGGTGTATTGATACACCATCCAAACTGTAATTAATAACTTCACCATGCTCAAAGGGATATTCAATGTTTGTTTTTGATTTTTTTTTACCCATCTACCAATAGGTATCCTTCTTTGCGAGGCATTGGAAAACCTCCCTGATCTTTGTGGTTTGAAATTCACTGCTCGACTGAGGGACCTTACAGATAATTGTATGTGTGGGGTACAGAGATGGCGTAGTCATAAAATAAATCATGTTAAACACTATTATTGCACACAGAGTGAGTCCATGCAACTTATTATGTGACATGTTAAGCACATTTTTACTCCTGAACTTATTTAGGCTTGCCATAACAAAGGGGTTGAATACTTATTGACTCAAGACATTTTGGCTTTTCATTTTTTAATTAATTTGTAAAAATGTCTAAAAACATAATTCCACTTTGACATAGGCCAGTGACACAAAATCTCAATTTAATCAATTAAAAATTCAGGCTGTAACACAACAACATTTTGTCAAGGGGTGTGAATACTTTCTGAAGGCGCTGTCTCTAGAACCCAAAAGGCTGCCCCTATAGGATAACCCTTTGAAGAACCCATTTGGGTTCTACACAGAGGGTTCTACATGAAACCAAAAAAAGGGTTCTCCAATGGGGAACCGAAGAAACCGTTTGGAACCCTTTTTTTTCTAAGAGTTATTTCGTTGCTTTGACAATGTCATTTCCGAATATTTATGTGATTAGTGATTCATTTACGTCTGTCCCTCATTGTAAGGTCAACCCTGTTACGTGACCTGAACTCTCGATTTAATATGGTGAAACTATTCCTTTGTTAGATATTTTTCTTATAGTCAAATGATTGTCTAAAAAGCAGGTCAGCTGGTTCTTTTAAGCCATTATCTGATGTTTTGTGGTGGAAAACTGAGCAGGTCGAGCACAACACGTCAACCCACAGATAGAAATGTTTGAACAATAAATGAATAAAACATTGCACACAACAAGCTTCCATCCCCCTCGTCACAAGGGTATTCATGGCTTATTTATCCCCCTCGTCACAAGGGTATTCATGGCTTATTTATCCCCCTCGTCACAAGGGTATTCATGGCTTATTTATCCCCCTCGTCACAAGGGTATTCATGGCTTATTTATCCCCCTCGTCACAAGGGTATTCATGGCTTATTTATCCCCCTCGTCACAAGGGTATTCATGGCTTATTTATCCCCCTCGTCACAAGGGTATTCATGGCTTATTTATCCCCCTCGTCACAAGGGTTATTCATGGCTTATTTATCCCCCTTGTCACAAGGGTATTTATGGCTTATTTAAGATGAGATTGTCAACCCTATTTAGGCCGCATGCTTCCCGCCGAAACAGTTCGGAACAGTTCGTGCATATTTTATCCCAACATTTTGTGATGTTTTTGTCGGCACTGTTTTTTTTTAGACTGATCAGGCACACAAAATATTTTCTCAAGGCAAGCCGAAGTCGGTAGTCAAAGTCTACCTCCCCATCGTCGGCGATTGGTCAACAGTAGGGATTCTTCAATTAAGTGCCTTTTGTAAAATTGTGCGACTAAGATCTAAGACTAAGATTAATTCTGACTATTTTGAGAAAGTGTATATTGGCTACGGCGTCTCAAAATGGACAAACAATACTATTTTGTTCTTGTTTTTCAAGCGGTCTTTTAAGGGAGTATGCAGCACACTTGTTCACCCTCCTCTGAACCATGATGATGTAGCCTGTCTTTACTCACCCTCCTCTGAACCATTTTATATTTTTTATATGTCATTTAGCAGACGCTTTTATCCAAAGCGACTTACAGTCATGCGTGCATACATTTATTTTTTATTTTTTTGTGTATGGGTGGTCCCGGGGATCGAACCCACTACCTTGGCGTTACAAGCGCCGTGCTCTACCAGCTGAGCTACAGAGGACCACGATGATGTAGCCTGTCTGCTTCACATTTCTGAACAGCTGAAATAAAATAAAAAACTGTAGCGATTTGAACTGACATTTCCCAAAATATATATTGAAGGCTATACAACCTGCTCTCTGTTGTAATGTTTGCAATGATGGAAATAATCGCTATTTTGACTGCCTGTCTGCCTGTCTGTCTGCCTGCCTGTCTGTCTATATGCTGCCTCAGAACATGGAATAGAATGCCTGTCTGTCTGTCTTGTGTTTGCAATACTGTTACAACAGACAACAATGTTTGTACGAGCATGTCTTTAATCTCTTTCTCCTCAGTGGTTTAAGTACCAGAAACAGAGGATGCTTTGGGATGAGAGCTGGATCATTGACTTCAGGCAGATCAAACATGGTACTTCTCTATTATTCTATATGTGTCAAATAAATATTAAACCACTTCTGTCTTTTTGTATTTGTTATTTATGTTGATTGTATTGTAACACTGCTACCCTCCCCCTCTTTTACCCCCCCCAGACCAGGTAGCCCGGACTACTATGGGCAGTATCATGTCTGCCCCTATTGCTAACAGTGATTCCAACGCTAGCCGTGTCACCGCTCTCAGCTCCTGTACAGCCCACGCGAACTCACGCAAACAACTGTTCACACACACCGGGATTTAGTGAGTGTCTCTGTTCACACACACCGGGATTTAGTGAGTGTCTCTGTTCACACACACACCGGGATTTAGTGAGTGTCTCTGTTCACACACACACTGGGATTTAGTGAGTGTCTCCGTTCACACACACACCGGGATTTAGTGAGTGTCTCCGTTCACACACACCGGGATTTAGTGAGTGTCTCCGTTCACACACACCGGGATTTAGTGAGTGTCTCCGTTCACACACACCGGGATTTAGTGAGTGTCTCTGTTCACACACACACCGGGATTTAGTGAGTGTCTCTGTTCACACACACCGGGATTTAGTGAGTGTCTCTGTTCACACACACCGGGATTTAGTGAGTGTCTCTGTTCACACACACCGGGATTTAGTGACTGTCTCTGTTCACACACACCGGGATTTAGTGAGTGTCTCTGTTCACACACACACCGGGATTTAGTGAGTGTCTCTGTTCACACACACACCGGGATTTAGTGAGTGTCTCTGTTCACACACACCGGGATTTAGTGAGTGTCTCTGTTCACACACACCGGGATTTAGTGAGTGTCTCTGAAAAACACACAGACACACCAGGATATATACACACTCCTATTCTACAGTCATCTCCTGTCCTGTCAATGTATAGATGATCCTATTCTATAGTCTACCTGTTGATTCTCTCCTGTTTCTCTTCTCTAGTGATGGCAGGACAGTGGCCATCAAGCGGATTCAGACCAAGACCTTTTCTCTGTCCAAGACCATCAGACGAGAGGTCAAGCAAGTCAGGTGGGGACAATAGAGGTCAACAGGTCAGGTGGGGACAATAGAGGTCAACAGGTCAGATGGGGACAATAGAGGTCAACAGGTCAGGTGGGGACAATAGAGGTCAACAGGTCAGGTGGGGACAATAGAGGTCAACAGGTCAGGTGGGGACAATAGATGTCAACAGGTGAGGTGGGGACAATAGATGTCAACAGGTGAGGTGGGGACAATAGATGTCAACAGGTCAGGTGGGGACAATAGAGGTCAACAGGTCAGGTGGGGACAATAGAGGTCAACAGGTCAGGTGGGGACAATAGAGGTCAACAGGTCAGGTGGGGACAATAGAGGTCAACAGGTCAGGTGGGGACAATAGATGTCAACAGGTAAGGTGGGGACAATAGAGGTCAACAGGTCAGGTGGGGACAATAGAGGTCAACAGGTCAGGTGGGGACAATAGAGGTCAACAGGTCAGGTGGGAACAATAGATGTCAACAGGTCAGGTGGGGACAATAGAGGTCAACAGGTCAGGTGGGGACAATAGAGGTCAACAGGTCAGGTGGGGACAATAGAGGTCAACAGGTCAGGTGGGGACAATAGATGTCAACAGGTCAGGTGGGGACAATAGATGTCAACAGGTAAGGTGGGGACAATAGAGGTCAACAGGTCAGGTGGGGACAATAGAGGTCAACAGGTCAGGTGGGGACAATAGAGGTCAACAGGTCAGGTGGGAACAATAGATGTCAACAGGTCAGGTGGGGACAATAGAGGTCAACAGGTCAGATGTGGACAATAGAGGTCAACAGGTCAGGTGGGGACAATAGAGGTCAACAGGTCAGGTGGGGACAATAGAGGTCAACAGGTCAGGTGGGGACAATAGAGGTCAACAGGTCAGGTGGGGACAATAGAGGTCAACAGGTCAGGTGGGGACAATAGAGGTCAACAGGTCAGGTGGGGACAATATAGGTCAACAGGTCAGGTGGGGACAATAGAGGTCAACAGGTCAGGTGGGGACAATAGAGGTCAACAGGTCAGGTGGGGACAATAGAGGTCAACAGGTCAGATGGGGACAATAGAGGTCAACAGGTCAGGTGGGGACAATAGAGGTCAACAGGTCAGATGGGGACAATAGAGGTCAACAGGTCAGGTGGGGACAATATTTGAGTTTTCCTCTACAGTTTATAATGTAGAAGTGGTGGAATGTTTTACATAAAAATGAAGCGAAGAGATCTATAATTTATATAATAATATGGATTGACAAATATGCAAGCTCTCATTTTATATTCTCTAACCTCTGTCCAATAGGGAGCTGGACCACTCTAACCTGTTAGTTCTCTGACCTCTAACCTCTGTCCAATAGGGAGCTGGACCACTCTAACCTGTTAGTTCTCTGACCTCTAACCTCTGTCCAATAGGGAGCTGGACCACTCTAACCTGTTAGTTCTCTGACCTCTAACCTCTGTCCAATAGGGAGCTGGACCACTCTAACCTGTTAGTTCTCTGACCTCTAACCTCTGTCCAATAGGGAGCTGGACCACTCTAACCTGTTAGTTCTCTGACCTCTAACCTCTGTCCAATAGGGAGCTGGACCACTCTAACCTGTTAGTTCTCTGACCTCTAACCTCTGTCCAATAGGGAGCTGGACCACTCTAACCTGTTAGTTCTCTGACCTCTAACCTGTGTCCAATAGGGAGCTGGACCACTCTAACCTGTTAGTTCTCTGACCTCTAACCTCTGTCCAATAGGGAGCTGGACCACTCTAACCTGTTAGTTCTCTGACCTCTAACCTCTGTCCAATAGGGAGTTGGACCACTCTAACCTGTTAGTTCTCTGACCTCTAACCTCTGTCCAATAGGGAGCTGGACCACTCTAACCTCTGTCCAATAGGGAGCTGGACCACTCTAACCTGTTAGTTCTCTGACCTCTAACCTCTGTCCAATAGGGAGCTGGACCACTCTAACCTGTTAGTTCTCTGACCTCTAACCTCTGTCCAATAGGGAGCTGGACCACCCTAACCTGTTAGTTCTCTAACCTCTAACCTCTGTCCAATAGGGAGTTGGACCACCCTAACCTGTTAGTTCTCTGACCTCTAACCTCTGTCCAATAGGGAGCTGGACCACTCTAACCTGTTAGTTCTCTGACCTCTAACCTCTGTCCAATAGGGAGCTGGACCACTCTAACCTGTTAGTTCTCTGACCTCTAACCTCTGTCCAATAGGGAGCTGGACCACTCTAACCTGTTAGTTCTCTGACCTCTAACCTCTGTCCAATAGGGAGCTGGACCACTCTAACCTGTTAGTTCTCTGACCTCTAACCTCTGTCCAATAGGGAGCTGGACCACTCTAACCTGTTAGTTCTCTGACCTCTAACCTCTGTCCAATAGGGAGCTGGACCACTCTAACCTGTTAGTTCTCTGACCTCTAACCTCTGTCCAATAGGGAGCTGGACCACCCTAACCTGTTAGTTCTCTGACCTCTAACCTCTGTCCAATAGGGAGCTGGACCACCCTAACCTGTTAGTTCTCTGACCTCTAACCTCTGTCCAATAGGGAGCTGGACCACTCTAACCTGTTAGTTCTCTGACCTCTAACCTCTGTCCAATAGGGAGCTGGACCACTCTAACCTGTTAGTTCTCTGACCTCTAACCTCTGTCCAATAGGGAGCTGGACCACTCTAACCTGTTAGTTCTCTGACCTCTAACCTCT